ACTTAACTTCTTTTTTCCTTCATCATTCATCCAATAAATATTTGAGTGCTGACCATATGCCAGACACTATTCTGGGTGTCAGGGAGACAAACAAGGCACATTAAGTTAATATCTCTGCCCTTATGTATCTTACATTCTGAAGGGCTGAACTATATATATATATATATATGATTTCGAAGTACTAGAAGCACTCACTAGTCTGTGCCAGGAAATTTGGAATACAGTTACTTGGCCAAGTGACTGGACAATTCATATTTGTACCTATTCCAAAGAAGGGTGACGTAACAGAATGCACTAGCACAACATCACTGACATGCAAGTAAAATCTTGGTGAAGATCACCCACCAACAGTTGCAGCAATACACTGACATGGTGTGGCCAGAGATTCAGGCCAGGTTCAGAAGAGGACATGGAACATTGTTGATGTCAGATGGATCTTCACTGAAAGTAGAGGATACCAGAAAGATGTTTACTTGTGTTTTATTGACTATGGCACAGGTATTTCAAATACGAGTAGGGTCACCCGAAGGGAACTGGTTCAGTTGAATTTCTAGAATAAGAACAGCATATGAGGAAGGAATTAGCTGTCCACTTTTGAGGAATGCACCACTGAAATCCTATGAATAGCAGCAGAACACACTAAGATATAGTACCAGAAAATAAACCTTTCAGGTTGGAAAACATTCAAAATACAACTTAAAAAAAAAAAGAGCCGCAAGTAGAGCTGACCATAATGATGGCGGTGGAGTAAAGCTTTCAGGACCTTCATTTGCTGATGGGGTATACCTCAAAAAGAGAAGAAACTGCTACAAACATCTTTTAATCATCGGAATGTGGAATGTACAAACTCTAGGAAAATTGGGAGTCATCACAAAGGAAGTGGAATGCATTAAGACAGATTATCCTAAGAATTAGTGAGCTAAAATGGACTGGTATCGGCCATTCTGAATTAAAAAATCTTATGGTTTACTGCACTGGGAATGACAAATTCAACAAGAATGGCATTGCAGTGCCAAAAAAGACATTTTAAAGCTATGTTGAAGTACAATGTTATCTGTGATAGGATAATATCTGTGCATTTATGAGTTGTGGGATGACATCAAGAACATCATACAATCCAGTTAATACAACTATTATTCAAATTTACACACCAACTACTAAAGCAAGTGATGAAATTGAAGATTTCTACCAATTCTTTTGTCTGAAATTGACCAAACATACAATCAAGATACATTGATAAGTACTGGCAACTGGAATGCAAAAATTGGAAATAGTGGGAGGAACAGTAGTCAGAATAAAGTTACAATTTTGATAACTAAGGTATGTCTGGTTCAATCAAATCACATGTATAAAAGTTGGATAATAAAAAGGAAGGCAATAAAATCATTTCTAAAAAGAAAAGAGAAGACAGAAGAATCAATCTGTTTGAACTGTGGTCTTGGCAAATAAAACTGTGGACTACCAAAAGGACAAACACATCAGTCTTGATAATACAACTGGAATGTTCCTTAGATCTGAGGATCATGAGACTTTGACCCACTTACTTTGCATATGTCATCAAGAATGATCAATCGTAAAAAAAAAAGGGCATTCTATTTGGCAAAGTAGGAGCTCAGAAAAAACAAGGGAAATCCATAATGTGATTACATGGCAAGACAGAAACAGAAATAAATTCTAACATACCAGTGATCACGAGAAGCAGGCGATGTTTTGTTCTGTTGCACATGTGAAGACTGCCATGAATTATGGCCAGTTTGATGGCAACTAACCCCACCACCACCAGATTTTAGTCCTCATCTACATGATCAAAACTGGTTAGAGTCAAATCTAGGTTGAGCCCGAATTAAAGGAAAAAAGGAAGTAGATAATAAGGCATGTACAATATATTAAAAGCACAGTCATGGTATGGCACACATCATTTCTGCTCACATCCTTTTAGTTAGCTTAGCCACATAGCCACCTCTAGTTGTAAAGAGGGCTGACTAGCCTTCCATAATCCAACTGCACCTACAGAATGAGAGAGGATTTAGTTCTTTTTTTTTTTTAATCATTTTATTAGGGGCTCATACAACTCTTATCACAATCCATACATACATCAATTGTGTAAAGCAAATTTGTACATTCATTGGCCTCATCATTCTCAAAACATTTGCTCTCCACTTAAGCCCCCCCCGCATCAGGTCCTCATTTTTTCCCCTCCCTCCCCACTCCCCACTCCCTCATGAGCCCTTGATAATTTATAAACTATTATTTTGTCATATCTTGCCCTGTCTGACG